GAGGGATGTGTCTCATCTGCCAGTTTTATCTTTCTGCCTCACATGACAATAAATAAATAAAAGATTGGAGGAAGAGGATCAGTCCGGGCGCAGATCCAGCTGCCTTCCGTGGGCACTTGGTGTAACTTGCGCTGCTGCTCTTGCAGTGCGCGGGTGACTGGCTCCACAGCCTCTGCTTGAAGGCTCCTGGGCGTGGAGTGCTCCCTACCGCAGGAGGCGCTGACCTCCATGGAGAAATGCCGGTGATCGGCGCTGTGCACATACATCCCCTCTGTGCCTTCCCCTCTCCAGCCACATGGACAGCTCTACACAGGTGCAGCCCTGGGCTGAGGTCAACTTTTGACGTCTTGCAGTATCCCCGAAGTAGAATGTACTCAAGACACGCTTGCTAACTGAGGACCGCTGGTGGCTGAAAAAGGCTAGGAAAGGAAAAATCTGCTCTCCAATTCTAATTCCAGGACTGGGATCCCTGGGGAGGGAGGGCGTTGGGATAGTCACAGTGTGGAAGGGGGAGGGTGTGAGGAGATGGCACCAGGCTGTTCCTCACACGCAGCTCTTGCATCCTCAAAACTCTACGGGAAAGGTGCCGTCACTGTCCCCGTTGTAGAGGACACTGAGGCACATGACTTAGCTCGAAGGAAGTAGAGGTGGGATCCGAATCAGGGTGTGTGTGTTTTGGAGCCTGGTGCTGTAATACCTGGATGCACAAGACCTGGGAACTGGGGGCCTAGCCCGTCCCTGCTGTGGGGAAAACAGATGCCTTGAAAAGTATTTGCTGTATCTGGAAAATACAGACAAAACCCAGAAACTCAGTAAAACTTATTTTAGCTATTTACTTATTCATTCATTCATTCATCCATTCCTGGGGTGCTGGGCACAGAACCCAGGGCCTCATGCATATAGGGAAGTACTGTACCACTGAGCTGCACCTGTAGCCCAGTAAATTTTCATAGAATGACTAATGGAAAGCTCATCTTGTAAAACCCTGAGACCTTATGAGTGCAAAGACCACATCATAAGCCACTTTAGCTGAGATCCTGAGCTCTGGGAGGGAGGCAGGACTTGGTCAGCAGCAGGTGTTCATCCTGCGGTACCAAGACAGAGCCTAGGATGAGGGAATCGGGGAGGGAGATCACAAGATGAGGAGCTGAGCTGCCACTTATAGTCCAGGGAGGTGCAGGTGGCAGGGCTCACCACCCATGCGCACCTCACTCCTGCCCTAGTGCTCCAAGCTGTTGACACCACCAGGAAGTGAATGAGGGTGCAGGAGAAAGGGTTGATGCTTGACCCTGAGGGAACTCAGGGCCTTTAGGTAGGGTGGACAGAAGGGAGAGGTTGTGGAATCTTAGTAAGTGGAAGCCCTAGGTAGGAGGCTGGGTCAGATGGCTGATTCATTCATTCAAGATGCGGGCTCTTGGGGGCTGGGGAGATAGCGCAGTAGAATAAGTGCTTGCCTGGCAAGCATAAGGGCCTGAGTTCAATCTCGGGTTCTGAAAAAAAAAAAAAAAAAAAAAAAAGATGCAGGCTCTTGCTGTGTTGCCCAGGATGGCCTCCAACTCCTAGGCTCCAGCAATCCTCCTGCCTCTGCTTCCACCGGCTGGATCAGGTTACTGATCTCTGGGTCTAAGTGTCATGTGAGGATATATACTGAGTAGTATCTAGCACCCCAGAAAAAAAAGAGAAGGAAGAGAGAAAAAAAAATCAGTGAACGAGGAAGGCAGCCGCAGGTGGATCTGCAGTCTCTGTGGCAGTGCCGGCCTGGCCACTCATCTGAGGACAGCTGCTGCACTCTCCTTAGGAGCTGGACACTGCCCATCCGAAATGACGCCAGCCACAGTGCCCCAGCAGCTGAAGCAGGGACCGGGGGCCCCCACTGCCATTCCAGATGGCAGATGATTGGAGGATGGGGGCCCAAGGGAGGAGGTGGATGATGGCATGAGATACCTGGTGGGGTGCAGTGGGGGACAGTGACATAGGCCAATCTCTGGTGCCTAGTGAGTGTCAGCTATGCTTTCTGGTGGCAAAAGGGTAAGGCCCAGGTAAGGTTCCTCCATGCAACCACATCAAGGGGAGATTTCTCTGCCCCTACTCTCACCCCAGGCAGCTCGTAAGGTGAAGGCAGGAGGTCAGCCAGATTCGAACTGTGACAACCCGCCATACTCTCAGATGGCCAGGCCAGTCACCACACCCCAGGGCCTCTCCTAGGAGATGGGATGAGACAGTTCCAGCCCCACAGCAGCAGTGTGGGCTCCCCAGGGCCTGTCCCCCTCTGCCTGGAACCCGAGGGCCCCTGCAAAGCTCCCTCCCAGCCTGTAATGACCAGTGGCTGCCCCCACACAATGAGGCCCAGCACCCTTCCGCTGGGAGTGGCTCTAAACTCTGGCTGCACACAAGGGTCCTCTGAGAACCTTGTTTGTGATGCTGGGGCTCAACCCCAGGCCTGAGTGTGCTCAGTAAGCATGCTGCCAGGCTGCACACATCCACCCCTCAACCCGAGTGTGTATAAAAAAAACCTGATCCCTGGCCTCACCATTAAAAAGTCTGATGGCAGCTGTACATGGTGGCACACACTTGGACACCTGGAGTGACTGCACCCTCTGAGCAGAGGCAGGAGGATCACAAGTTTGAACTCAGTCTGGACACTTAGCAGATCTTATTGAGTGTGTGTTGGGGGACGGACCATGACCCCCGTGTGGAAAAGGACAAAAGTTCTGCAGGAATCCATCTGAGCCGGAGCCAGGCAGCAATAGGCCCTAATGCACCCAGTTGGACCTGACAGGCACATCCATGTAGTCCGACCTTCCTGCTGCCCTTCCCAGCATGCTGTGCTTTGGCCTTGCTGCTTTCTACTCCTCCTCAAGTATATTCCCTTCACAGCCTTGCAGGGGATGTTCTGTCCCAGACTGTCTGCTTGGTTCCCTTCCTCAGAAGCCAGGCCTAACAGAGGCCTCCGACCCCACCACCCTACACCCTCACATCTCCCTTCTGAGTCTTGCACCAAGACATGCTGCTGTGCCTGCCTTGTGGATTTGAGAAGGAATCCACAGCCACCTGCTGGAAGGTGGCTCTGCAGGAGTAGGGGCCAGACAGACCTCCTCACTGCTGTGGCCTCCATGCTGTGTGCCCCCATGTCCTCAGGTCCTGCACAGGGCCAGGCTGGGGACTTGCTCTGGAGACAGAGTGCTCAGGAGGTGCTGCAGAGTGTTGCATATGGAAGCTAGGGTCCAAGTGAAGGTGGGGCAGGGGAGGGCCCTGGGGGAGCTGAGCTGCTCCAGGAGGAAGGGGCAGGCCTTGCCACAGTGCGGTGCATGGTGGCCCAAGCTCATTATTCAGCGGCAGCCCTGAGCTTTGTTCCTGGGATACCAGGAAGGCTGGGGCAGGGGAGAGCCTACTCCACCTCACACCAGGATGGGAGCTGAGGTCACCTCTACTTTGCAGTAATCATCACCTAAGACCTTTCATCAGCAGCTGTAGGACCGCTATAAACCATAAATGCCCTTGCCAAGTTGGCATGGTAAAGAGAAGGCCAGGCGGGGCCCCAGGCATTCCTAACCCACCCCAGGAGCAGAGAGCACAAGGCCAGGTCAATGACTCAGGGCTCCGGTGGAACGGCAGGCTGCTGTTTGTAAGGGCCATGTGGCATCTTGAAATGACTGTCAGGTGTGCAGGACACCAAGGTCTCCAGGACACAGGGCTGGGTTGTGTTTTGGTCTGGTCCCTGGGGAGCCCACAGTCAGTACCTGCAGCTCACCAGCCCTGGCACTTCATACTCTATCTTTGCTCCTGAATCTGGCTCCCTTTTCTGGAGCCACCATCTCTACCTACACTAAGGTGAGCCTGTCCGGTGGGATTTATCTCCTAGGCCCCAAGAACAACTCACTGCCTGTGATTTCCAGTGCTCTCTACAGGGCTCCAGCAAAGCAGTGTCTACACAGGCCCTCCCTAAGCATAGTCTGTCTTACAGACAATGGGGGCCTCTACACTATGTACAGCTCCCCTCTTTGAAGACTGAGGGCTGGGGACTCTAAGCTGCTATGCACCCTGAGGCAAGTCACTCAATCCTGAGGACCCACTATATGTATGAGGATATGCAAAGAGGGAAGGAAGGGGTTCTTGTGCAGACGCAATGAGACCAGCATGGGGTACAGAGATGAATAAGTACAGGCTCCTTCCAGTGGATTGCAGTGCAGATTAAAAGCCCCATTCAGATCCCTGCCAAACAGCCTGAGCCACAGTCCCACAGTTTGCTGGAGTCTACAGGGTGCAGGACCAGGTATATCTTCTTTCTATGGCCTGTGGCAGGGATCAGACTGCTGGGCACTAAATTCTCCTCTGCAAAGCAGCAGTCCCCTCAAGCACACCAGCAAATCAGAGGACACATGGCCTGACCAGTGCCAAGGCAGGGGAGGTCAGGAGGCATGGTTGGGGCCTGGCGTTTCAGAGTGGCCTTGGGAGAACAGAGCTGGTCGTGGAAGTGGAAGACAGCAGGACTTGGGGAGCCGTGAGCCCTGTGTATGACAGGGGAGGAGGCACTGTGTGCAGCAGCAGGTGGTGGATTCAAGTTCTGCAACAGTTACCTCAGGGTGTGCATGACCATGGGGCTCACAGCCCTTCTGCTATCTCGGCTTTGCCCACCTCAATGTCACTTCTCTCTTGAGCCTCCTTCCCCACAAGCGAAGCACTGGGAGGTCAGGGTCCAGGATGGCAGCCAGACCCCGGGAACCCCCTTCCCTGGGACTCTGGCAAAGTCTTGGCTAATCCAACCCTGTAGGAACCAGGCAGAGTCCACATCTGGCCCTGAGTGCAGAAGGGAGGGTCGGTGGCCTCTTGAAGCTCAGGGTGAATTCAGAGGCACATAGGGACCAACACTCTCAGTGTATACGAGTATATAAGCTGGGCCCACCCGCTACTCATTGGTCCTGCAAGGGCCTTGGTTCCCCACCTTTGGCATAGATCTATTAATAACCATTTCTGTACCAGACTGCATTCTCCTTCCTGTACAACATGAATTAAATATATTATCTGTCTTTGTGCTGAGAGTCACAGGACATTCACAGTACAGTTGAGGGGGAAGGAGGGCTTGGGGAGCCCAGGCCCCTACCACCACCCAGCTCCTTAGGCTGAGGGCATTGGGCTGGGGCGGGGCTTGTGGAGGAAGCCAGGCCTCTGCTCTAGGATCTGGCCAGGCTGAGGTGGCCTTGGGAACACCAGGTGCTGAGGAGGGGTCCTCTTCTGGGCTCTTAGCATCCAACTGCTCCCTCCCCACTTCCTTTCCCCTGGGCTGCAGCATTCACACCTCTTCCTCTCATGATCACCTTCTGAGCACACTGGTGCCTGGATCACGAGGACAGAGCCACAGGGCTGGGGCAGAGGGACGGGGGGCTGTGTCAGCGCCAAGGCACCAAAGTTGGCCTGGCACCAATGTCAGGGTGACCCCAATGTCTGGGCGCCTCTCTCAGGACGCTGCCCCTCCTCCCCCCGGCCTGACTTATCAGTACTTGGGGATAAGACAGGCACAGCAGAGCTCAGAAAGCGGGCTGGCAGGAGCTGGATCGGAGCTCCAAGGGCAGCATGCACTCTACCACCTGCCAAGTTAAGGCAACTTCATCTAGATGGGGAGGTGGGGAATGCTGCTGGGCCCACACCACCTCCAGGGGCAGCTGGCACCCTCGCTGCTCAGCCTTGGCCCAAAGGGCACAAGTGACCTCTGGTGAGGAGGGAGGAAAAGACCGCGGGGACAGAGAAGACAGGACTACTGTGTCTTCTGCTGTGCCGGGGACATCTGCCCTTGAGTCCCACACAAGATGCCATGTCCCTTCTTGCTTTCAGAGAGGAAGGAAGAGAAATGTGGGCAGGCTCCTGGGGGCAGAGGGAGGCCTGCCAGCCTGGAGAGGTGAGCAGGCCCTGGGGAGGCGTGGTCCAGCCCACATCCAGGCCAAGCACGGCACTGGGATTTTCCCATGCCCATGCACTTCAGGCTGGGAGACGGTCTGAGCCTTCTCCCTGACCCTCGCCTCCTCTCAGGGGAGCAGCTCACTCCCAGCCCCATGGGAGTGACGGAGGGTTGATGTCCAGGTATAGGTCACCAGGGAGGTCGTGTGTGAAGCAGGGAGAGGAGACAGCTGCACCCAGGGCTGCCCAGTCTTCCAGGTTGGCCACTAGCTCTTGTTCCTTGGTCCTCCTATAGCCACACAGGTCTCATCCTACTGGAATCTGCGTTTCACATGACCTCACGTCCCTTATGCCGCAGCAGAGAGGGCACAGCTCAGAAGATGCTCTGCCGCCGGTTCTTCCCTCGTCCTGGAGAACAGAGGGAGGAGTCAGGCTGAAAGGTGCCCAAGACTGAGAGACACGTGTCCCTCTGACACTCTGAGCAAGTGAGCGAAGCAGTGTACTCAGGAGTCAGGCAGTCCTGTGCTCAAATCCCATCTCTGTTACAAGTGACAAGAAGCCGACTTAACCTTTCACAGGCTGTGAACTGGGGAATATTAATGGTGCCAACTTCATGGAGGGTTTTAAGGGTTAAATGAGACAATGCAAAGAAAGCACTGTTGGTTTCAAGAGCACCAGCTGGTCAGGGTCTGCCGGGTGCATGTACCAGAGGAAGCACTTTTGCCAGAACTGTACCACATGCAGTGTCCTGTTGGGGTGGAGGAACCCCCCCCAGAAGGGAGGCCCATCTGGGGGTGACCATGCAGACTCAGTATCACCGAGGCAGGCTGCTGGGCCCATCTCTGCTCCTCTGGAGCGAGCCCCTACTGGGGACAGGCAGCCTGCCCAGCCTCTTCTAGCAGGGAGAGTGGTGGGAGCTCCCTCCCCCCAAAATCCTACCTGGGTGCTGGAAGGCCAAGCCACGATACCCTGGGTCCTTCTGGAGCTGGATCTCCTTCAGGGAGAAGATGGAGGCAGCTGGGGAGAGAAGAGGGGCAGGGAGAGGGCTAGGTGGGGCTGGGGCACCCTCGTTGGGGGAGCTGTCAGGACCAGCTCCACAGACTGCACCCCTTAGATCCAAATAAGATCCCATAGACGGGAAGCTACATGCCTAAGGCTACTCAGCAGACCCGGCCTCTGGCCTCTTCGTTCTGCTGTCACTCACCCTGCCCCATTAGACACTCACTGTCCTCAAGCTGGTGCACATGTTCTCCCAGAGACCGGAAGTAGGGGTGACTCAGGGCTGCCTCTGCTGATGTGCGGCTCTTGGATTCATACTGAAACACACAGGATGGGTTCTTGGGCACTGTGGGGACACCTCTGGGCCGTGCAACTGCCATAATAAGTTAGATCGCTATGGTGGGAGGGCCTGGGCCTGCTGCTGTCCCCAGCCTGACCCCACCAGGCTGTCTCAGGCCTCCAGTGCCCAGGTGTCCAATCACCCAAATGGGACTTCAGGGAGGGGCTTCCTCAGGGGATAAAGGCTCACAAGCGCGGAGGGCCACCACGAGCATCGCTCAAGAGTGGCCATGACCGGCAGGAAAACCACCCTCCCTTTCTGGCGTGCTTGCTTCAAGACAGGTGCCTCACTGCACCCCTGTAACCCCAGTGTATCTCATCACCATCTTCTGGGGTGTGAACTGTCAATTCCATTTGGCAGGTGAAGAGCCTGAGGCACAGACAGGTTCCCTGGAATACGCCCAAAGGTCCCCGGCTGGTAAGCAGTCCACACTGTAGTCCGGGTGTTATGCTGGGACTCTTAAGGGGACGAGGGAAGCCAGAGCTCCTTCTAGGTACGGGGCCACAGTGTGGGGCAGATGACAGCAAGTCTGGTAAGTTGGGGCCTAGGGCAGGTGGAGCTGTGCCCTGGAAAGTCACTACCCCAACCCCTGGAAAGTCACTCACCAGGAGGAGGCCGGTCAGAAGGTTGATGCCGTCAGTATCCAACCTGCAAGGGGGAGGAGCTGCTGCAACAAGCTGTTGGGGGAGGGAAGGGGGTGTGCAAGGAGGGGCACGTGGGCGTGGCATCGGGGCATGGCTACCTGGGGGCATGGCTGAGCAGCGGCTGCGGCAGGTACCCAGGGAAGTTGTAGGCTCGGAATTCTGGAAGGGCTGTCACGCCGGGCCACGTCTCTTCTGTCGGGGTCCCTGGAGGAATGAGAGGGGGTAGAGAACGTGTGGGTGAAGGGCCAAGGCCGACGCGTAGGGTGCGATGCCGGCGGAGGAAGCTAAGGCCGGCCGATGGCACCGGGGTCCTGCCGATTGGTATCAGCCCGAGGGGGGTGTTGGGGCGCGTCCACTGAGCGCCTGGGCTGGGTGGAGTGCTGGTGCCCTCTGGTGGCCAGAGTGAGTTTGCGGCAAGAAACTGACCCAGGAGGCGAAAGATGAGGTGCAGCTCCTCCTTGACTGTGGAGCCTGGGAAGAGGGGCCTCCCTGTGGCCATCTCGTAGTGAATACAGCCCACGCCCCTGCGGGGAGCAAGGGGCAGGGGTGTCAGAGAGAAGCAACCACGCTTCCTACGGCTGCTCCACCGGGGTACCAGGAACGCCCTGCCGCTGGTGGTAGAAGGCTCCTGGAACTGCCCTGGTCCTCACTACTGCCCGTGTGTTGAGTGCCCTGGGTCCTAGGAAGGTGCGACCTCTCCCTCTAGGGTGTGGGTCTGCACCGCCTGGTGGTCCAGCTGGAAGAGGAGCCCACACCTTGGTTCTAGGAAGCCCTGGTCATAGGCACAGGGAACATTCAGCAGAAATCTAAGTTTTAGCTTCAAATTTGGACTGGTTTTTCATTTTATGCCAAATCATGGATTTGTTAATTTTAACATAAAAGTAAGTACTTCTTCCAAAAGCATCACTAGAACTGATACTTGGGGGAGATCCATCGTCTTTACTGTAGGGAGGGACCCTCCTGTACCCTGGGATAAGGAGGGTATGTAAGATGGGGAAACCCTCCTGTGGCTTTCCTCAGGGAGGTGAGGTGGTTCTTTCCAGAGTATAAGGGTATGGGAGCCCCATAGCTGCCCTCAGTCACACTCACCACATGTCAATGGGTGTGGAGTACTCTGTGGATCCCAGCAGCACATCGGGGGGCCTGTACCACAGGGTCACCACCTCATTGGAATAGGTCTTTGTGGGCACTGACTTGGCCCGGGCCAGTCCTAGGGACAGCGAGGCACTGAACCTTTGCTCACAGCATTCACTGGTAAACCCTCCCGCTAGCACCCATAATCTGAGTTGGCTGGGCACCTCGGTGACGTCGGATGCCCACCCTCCCTGGCCTCACCAAAGTCAGCCAGTTTCAGCTCGCCCCTCTCATTGATGAGCAGGTTCTGGGGTTTCAGGTCCCGATGCAGGATCTTGCGCCGGTGACAGTAGGCCAGGCCCCGGAGTAGCTGGAACATAAAAATCTGGGGAGCAGGGAGAGAAAGAAGTAGGAAGTAGCAGCAGAAGGCCTGTCACAGCTGGGAGACCTGGAGCCTCTGCCTCAAGGCCGGGGTGGAAATGGGAGTGGGGATGGGTAGGTCAGCACAAGTCTCTCCCGGGCAGGCTGCCTGGTTCCTATCCACCCCACTGCCCATCCTGGGCCTCAGCACATTGGGGAATCCAGCCAGCGGGGAGGCCCAGTTGTGCAGAAGAGGCAGTGAGTGCGCAGGAGGCTAGCGTCCTCAAGCTGGAGAGTGTGTGTGTGGGGTGGGGTAAGAGTGGGGCAAGAAGCCACCTCCTGGAATTCCCTGGAAGTCTCCCTCCTTGCAGCCTAGCAGGTAGCTCATGTTCCCAGCTGACAGATGGGGAAACTGATGCTTAGCATCAGAGATGGTCTTTACAGCTAGACTGTGGTGGAAGGCTTGTGACTGTTCCTGTGGGCAAGGTGCCCATCCCAGGCCCTGGCTCACTGGATGGGAGCACCCAACCACTTCTTCCTACATTGCAAGCTCTGAGTGTGCTCAGCAGCTGGAGCCCTGGTGGTGAGAAAGGTGAGCATCATGGGCCAGGGCACGGATGCCAAGAAGGATGGGTGTGGCCTTGGAGGTGCTCACCTTGACGTTGTGCATACTCATGAGGTTTCCACAGTGGTCCAGATACTGCTTCAAGTCACTGTCCTGCAACACAGGTCCCTGGCTCTTAGTTACTGCTAGGCCTGAGCATTTGGTCCACTCCTGCGCAGGCACATCCAGAGCCTGATTCTAGAACAAGGTCTACAACTCCTCCAGACCTCTCCTACTCCCTCCTCCCAACCCTACCACCCCTGCCTCAGTGCTTCAGCCCAGCTCACCAAGTATTCAAACACTAGTGTGAGGGACCGGTCTGTGTGGATGAGGTCATGTAGGGTCACGATGTTGGCATGCTTCAGATTCTTCAGCAGTGACACTGGGGAGACAGGCCTGCCTGGGTCGCTTGTGTCCTCCTCTCCCTGGAGTTACCCATGTCCTCTTCCCCAGGTGCCCACTACGACAGGCTGCTGAGCCTCCCTCCAAACCACTTGGGGGGGGGAGCGTGGGTCCAGGGTCACTGAGCATACCCTCTCGGATGGCAGTACAGGGCGCCCCCTCCTCATGCTCTAGCCGGATCTCCTTCAGGGCCACCAGGTTCTCTGTCAGCTTGCTGCGCCCCTTGAAGACTGTGGCGTAGGTGCCCTGGGTGGGGAATGTCCACCTGTCAGCCATTGGGTGCTGCTCTTCTTGGCCCAGGGCCTCCCCTCCTCTGGTGCTTGAGCTGGGCCCTTTAGTACCAGAGCCCTACTCCCTTCATGAAATTCTACTTGCCCCAAAGTCCACTTCCTCTGTGAAATGCCCCTAATAGCTTCCGGATCAAGATGGACTGCTCCTTCTTCTGACTCTGGACATCTTCTGTTATAACGTCCGAATCATTTTCCTCAGATCACACTGATATCTGGAGGCGGGGGTCTCCTTGGGAAATGGCCTTCCACCTCTCTGTGCTGCTCCCCCAGCCTCTGACACACGGCCCAGTGTAGTGCTGCCAAGTTAGCTCAGTGACAGCCCTCACTATGTGCCAGGAGCTGTCTAAGTGCTTGTCATGTATCCCCAATCCTCACCATAACCCTGGGAGAACAATGGGTCCTATTCACCAGAGGAGGACTCGAGGCACTGAGAGTCACTTGCCCAAGGTCTCAGGGCTAGTGAATGGTAGACTTGGCATTTCAATCTAGGCAGTGAGTACTGGCAGGAACCAAGTAGCCCAGAGCCCATGGGCTCCTCTGTCCTGGCATCCTATTCAGGCTCTGGGGACCCAGCTGAAGGCCAGGCCAGGCTGTATGGCCAAGGGGTACATCTCTCTCAGGGAGGGGCCCACAGGGGCAGGGCCGTAACTGCCCCTGAAGAAGGCACAGCAGCCCTTACCTCCCCCAGCTTGTCCAGCTTCACATATGTTTCCAGTTTCCCAAAGCCGATATCTGACTGGAGGAAGACAGTGCTGTGAGATCAGAGCCCCCAGGGCCCCCACCTCCCCCTACTTCCAGCCTCTGAGAAGGGCGGGAATGAGCCACCCAGTGGTGCTGAGGGAGCCACTCAGACTGGCTGCAGGCTCTTCCTGTGCTCCGTTTCCCTTTATCCCCGTGACAGAGGAGGGCCCCTTGGAAGTGTGATGTCTCCCTCCCGTGACACTGGGGACGAGGGGCTGCCCTGTTCCCATCTCTGTCTTGTTCAGATTTCAGCTCCTCCTGGCAGATGTGGTGTCTTTTTCTCTACCACACGAGCATCCATTTGGAACACACCTATCAGTGCATACCCCTTCCTTCTAGCTCAGATGGAGCCAGCTCTTTTTAAAAATTAATTAATTTTTTTTAATGATGATTCTTTTTTTTTAAATTTTATTTGTGTGTGTGTGTGTGTGTGTGTGTGTGTGTGTGTGTGTGTGGCCAGCTCAGCCCACCAGGGGGCAGGGCTGGCTGGCATGTGGTGCTGGGGGATTGAACTGCGGTCCCTGTGCTTTTAGTTTGTTCTAAGTAGGTGCTTTAGACCACTGAGCCATCTCACCAGCCCCTAATTAATTAATTTGATACAGGGTCTCGCCACTCAGTTCACACTCATAGTGATCCTTCTGTCTCCGCCTCCCCAGTGCTGGGATTATAGGCCTGTGTCACCATGCCCAATTGTGGGCCAGCAGGAACTTGGGGTTCCAGAGATAGCACAGCACATGGTACTGGGATTGAACTTGGGACCTTGTGCTTGCCAGGCAGGTGCTTAGATCACCAAGCTATCTCCCCAGCCCTGGAGTCAACTCCTAACAGGACGGATTGTTGGGTGTCTATCCAGAGGCTGATGCTGCAAGTGTCTATCATAGGACCAGGGTCTATGTTTTGTAAAAATGCTCCAAAAGTTGGGACAGGTGGGCAGGACTGGGAAGCATGGCGCAGCTGGTCTTCCCTGGAGCCCAGAGGGGGCTTACAGCTTCGCTTCACTGGGACCATCTGGGCAATGCCAGCCAGTCTGGGAGGATCAGTGCTCTGAAGCCACTGTGGCCAGCAGGGGGCACCAGAGCCCTAGAAGCTTCCTAAAAACCACTGCTGGCCTTGGCTGGGCAAGGACCTCGCCCTAATGATCTCTGACCCTCTCGGGACTCACCAAGGAGGCTCGGCGGGACATGCGGCTGAGTGGCCTGGGCAGGTCTGGGCTCTCTAGCTGTAACTTCTGCAGGAACTCCCGAGGCAGGCGGATATCCATGGGTAGAGAGAGCCTCTTGCTGATGTCCTGCGGTGACAAGGAACTGTGCTGGGTTTAAGGGGAGTGAGGGCTGTGGGCCTTCACCTCTCACTAGCTTCTCCTATAGAGCAACCACAGCAGGCCAACTCCCAGGCTCAGACCCCAGGCTCAAAGCTATTTTGGGGGTGACCCAGAGACAGGTGAACACCTAGGTTTGCTGCGTGACCTTATGAGGTTTCTTCCCCTCTTTGGACTATAGTATCACCCACAACCTGTGTAGAAGAAGAACCTGTATCTCCGGCCCTCCCAGACACTAATTCTGTGAGCTTACTTTTCATATACTTGGCACACATATTTGGGGCAAAGAACAGTCATGTTGTTCAGCCTTTGCTATGTCCAGGAATGTGCTGAGCACCTGGCATATATTAACCCATTTAATCCCCACTGTGACCTTTCTAAGGACAAGCAGACTGTAGGACACAGGTTAAGCAGCTTGCTCTAAGTCACAGCTAATGAATGGCAGAGCTGGGATTAGAACCCCCCAAGTCTGGCTCAGAGGCAGCTTCCCTTGCAGCACACCTCTGTGGCTGTGTCCTGCACACCCAGGGAGGAAAGCCCTTACCTCCATGGAGAAGCGGCGCTGGTTCTGCCGTCGCCGGTACTGTATGCCGGGGGACAGTTGCCCAGGCTCCTCCCCACCATCTGTGGGGGAGAAGGCGCTGGACTCCAACGGGGGGTCTCTGCCAAGAGGACCGAGCTGCAGGTCTGAGAGGCACAGGAACCAGCCGTCAGCTCCCCTCCCAGCAGCCCTCCCCAGCCCTGGCCCAGCCTCACCCTCTTCCAGGGCTGTGGGGAGGGGGGTCAGCAGGGGCCTGGGGGACAACGGGATGGTGAGGTGTAGGTGAGGCCCTCACCCTCATTCCTCTGGTTGTGGAGCTGGTTGAACTGCTCTGTGAATTCAGCCAAAGACTCCTCAATGGTCTCTGTGCGGGGCACAGACAGTGAGAACCGACGCTTAAAGTTCTTCATCTTGTTCATGATCATCAAGGGCCAGGCAGTGTGGGGATCCTGGGATGGAGGGGTGAGAGGAAAAGGCAATGCCCAGGTGTACCCCAAGTGTGGATTCAGGGCCCCTTCTTCTCATCAGGTATGCTGTCCTTCATGCTACAAAAAGTTTTTCCTTCTCTTCCTCCTTTCTGGTACCAGCGATTGAAACCACGTGCTCTCCCACCAAGCCACACCCCAGTCCTTTATATTTTGAGACAGGCTCTCACTGTGGCCCAGGCTGACCTAGAACTTGCCGCCCTCCTGCTTCAGCCTCCTCGGGAGCTGGGATTGTAGGTGCACACCACTACGCTTGAGGAGCTGTGTCTTCTCCAGAGTTCAAGTTCCTCGAGGGGAGGATCCCTGGCTTCCTCCTCCCCTAAAGACTGAGCCCCTCAGCTCTGGAGCAGCACACACACTAGCTGCTGAAGTGAAAACCTGGTGGCCCCTGGCCACCCTGTGAGTGACTGAAGGTGTCAACAGCCAGGGAGGGCCACCCTTTGCTGTGGCCCACCCCCTTCGGACATGACACTGCAAGTGACCCCATCTGGCTTGTCCTGGACCCAGGAACCCAGAAAAGAGAGCAAGGCATCAAGGGAGGAAAAACGTGCAGGGACTCTGGCTCAGCTTCTCCCTCTTTCCAGCTGAAACATGGGGACCAGAGGCAGGGACGGTCTCGGAGGAAACAGGGACAGGAAGGCAGAGCCCTGTGGTCCTCCCCACGCCAGGGTGCCAGAGCAGGCATCCTATGCTGAGAGCACCATGAAGGGGTGCTCTGCTCACCCTCAGGGTTTTCCCCAGCAAGCAGCAGCTCCGGCTGGCTGCTCAGCCTCTTGGCATAGGGGAACCCTGCCGCTTCTCCCCACAGTCCTCTCCTCAGGCCCCGAAAACCCAGTGGGGCTGTCCTGCCTTCCCTCCATGGTTTCCTAAGCTCCCAGTGATCCCCCTCCCCCTCCTGCTGTGTCACATTGCCTTCTGCTGAGCTGCCATGGGGACAAGGAGGGACCAGCAGGCCTATGAAAACCCACCCCCATGCCTACCAAGGACCCAGGCCAACCCTGTGGAGGCAGGGCCCACCTGGCCTCCTCCCTGGCTCTCCCCACGCACTAGAGCAGCCCACGCCTGGAGGATGCTCAGTTCTGCCACTGGCCAGCACCTAGTTGCCAAGGCAACCAGGTCCTCCTGAATCCTCCTGGTTTAAGGGATTATGGGTCAGTAACATGTTTGTTTTGCTTAATGATCATGTCCTTGTGTCCTTAGCCAGCCTGAAAAGGGTCCTCTCTCTGGTCCTGCATGCTCCTGGCTGCCTCACAGGCAGGTCTCCTGAGTCCAGGCTAGTGCCTCAGAGTCGAGCTCAGATACTGCCAGCTGAACAGAGGCCCCTGAAGGCTGACTCAGTTCAGCTCAACACACCAAAGGCTGAGCACTGTGCGCTGCCTGTGAGGCACTGAGATCACAGAGACGTGCAGAGCATGGTCCCAGCCACCTTGCGACAGCCCCAGAGGATCCTGAATCTCGGTCCCCACACCTGCCTACCAGCCAGCTTCAGCTGTGGCCCAGCTCTGTGAGCTCTCCAGGCCTCTGGTCTGTGGGATGCTCAGACAGGAAGTGCCACCTGCCTTCTGTCCTGCAAACAGTGACCAACCGAACCCAGAGGCACACAGGACTGCCTTGTGATGGTGCCAGGAGGGGAAGGGTCCCGGGGACAAGAAGACTCAGCCCCACCTGCCCAGAGATTTCCACTTCCGTGGCAATGTCCTCACAGCACATGTCAGCTGTTTACAAAGTTGGCTGAACAGAAGCATCACCACAAACATTGTTTAAAAAAAATTCACGTTCCGGGGGTTTACCTTCAGGTTTTGGAACTGCTCTCTTTCCCCATCCATGCAGGGTATTAAAATCAGGACCTACCTTGAGCATGCTAGCCAAGGAAAATGCCTTTTTTTTTTTTTTTTGAGACAGCTCACTAAAGTGTTCAGGCAAGCCCCGATCCTGTGGCCCTCCTGTCCCAGCCTCTGGAGTAGCGGGGCTTGTGGGTATGCAACGCTGTGCACAAGGGCAAGGGCAGTCTTGAGCGGCATTTCCCATGACTTGCACTTGGAGCCGTGGCCGGGGAGCATTTTGGGTGCAGGGAGGGGCTGATGACCTGCCAGGCTTCTGGATTGCACCCTGGGCTGCCTTGTGCAGGGGAGGAGCAGGAGGGAGAAACACCTGGGGCACAGGAGCTCCCCAGGAGAGGAGCCACCCCTGCCCTGGAAGCAGCACATCTGCACTGCAGACTCCTGCCCAGGCTCCATCCTGGCCACCCTGGGGGCAGGCACGTGGCTCCTAGAGGGCTGCGCTCTGCCAAGAGGGACCCGCCACACCCCTTTCTAAAAACAGGTCTTCCACATTAAGTCCTCCTGCAGTCTGGGCTTATGGGATGGCATGTTGTGTTTGTGGCTCAGGAATCTCCCAGAAGCGGCCATGAATATGACTTTGGGGGAAGGAAGTGTATCCAAATCTATGGGGAAGGAGGGGCCCCATTTCTGCAGGACAGGCTAGCCGGCCCTGAATCCTACCTGCTCTTCCCACAGTTCAGATAGGAGCAAGGAGCCACCAGCTCCGGGGTCCTGGGCTGGAGTGGAGGATGGGACAGAGTGAAGTTGGGGGCAGGGGGAAGGGGACCAGCTGTTCTCCATTGCATGTGAAGGGACCAAGAGGAAGTGGCTGTCACTGCCATGGAGGGATGGAGGTCAGATGCTAGGATGAACTTCCCAACGGTGACAGGAGCAGGCCACTGGGGAGTGAACGAAACAGGGTGGACGCCTCTCTCTCTGCTGGGGACAATCAGGGCATTGAACTGGCAGGGTCCTGGGTGTGACAGGGCAGGCTGGTCAGAGACTGGTCTGTTGTTCCCAAGCTCAAGACACAAGATGCTTCTGTCACTTTCCTCTTGGGAGAGTCAGCTCCTCAGACTTGGGGGCTAAGGGGGGGAAGGGAGACAGGAAAAAAGCCTGTCACCTTGGTGCTGTCTGCCTCTCGCCCCAACTGGGGACAGAAGGGCTCAGTGTGTCACAGCCTGAGGCCAATCCAGGGCCAGGCACAGTGTGGCCTTTGTCCCCAGGCCAGAGAGCCATCTGGGGCTGTCTTTGTGCAACTGGTGCCAGGGGAAGGGCAGTGGGTGTCAAGGGGTGCTGGGTGGAGGGATGGTGTGAGGCAGCGGCAGCAGCAGAGGCCCCTGGAGCTGTAGGTGGCCGAGCAGACTCAGCCAGCCTGCCCTGCCTCCCTCTCCAGGTAAGAGGATAGAGCTGGCCACCTGCTTCAGTTACTTCCTCCTGTGCACACACCAGCCACCCAGCACTTCCTGCTGGGGCCAGAAAAGCAGGTGGCACAGAAGGAGGAAGGAGGAGCCAACGGCACTGTGGGAGGCCACCATGCACCCAGTGAGACGGGGCTGGACTCCAGGGCGGCCCGCAGAGCAGGATGGTATGGAGGGTCTCTGTCTCGTCCCTTGCCCAACAAGGCTGCAGAGGCTCCAACAGGGGCACGACTTACTCAGACTCATGCAGCAACTTCCTGGTTGCTGCCAAGAGCACACTCTGACCACACTGCTCCTTTTTTCTGGCTGGAGTCATCTCCAGTCCTGTGCCTTCCCTGTGGCCTCAGCTAAAGAGTGCTGTGCCAGGTTCTAGGTCTCTCCTCTCCCTCTCTGATCAACATCCAGATGAGCCTAAGTTCAGACTTGGGAGCCACTGCTAACTAGCAGGCTGTGTGATCACAGAGAAGTGACAGAATCCCTCTTAACTTTGGCTCACTCAATCAACAATTATTTATTGAACACCTACTACATGTTTGGCAGTGGTAAGCACTGAGAATCCAAGATAATGGATTCCTGTCTTATTTATTTATTTTGGTTGGAGATAGAACCTAGGGCCTGGAGCGCCCTAGACAAGTACGGTGGCACTGAGTCATGTCCCCAGTTCCTTTCCCCTGTACATGCGAAAGGAGGCAAGGAAATGCAGACAATAAAATAACAGGTGGTGGCAAGTGTGATGACGGGAACCAGTGCAGGAGAGAGGGGCACATGTGAGATGTGTGGTGTTGCAAGTTCCAATGCTGTGGTCACGAAGGCCTCCCTGAGAAGATGATGTCTGAGAAAGGGGGTGGGAGCTCCATGCGGGATCTACAGGAGGCAGACGAGCAACAGAGGAGCAGCTGCAGAGGTCCCGAGGCAGAAGTGAGTTGCAGTGGTCCGGAGCAGCAGTCTAGCTGCAGAGGAGCCTGGCAGTCTATGCAGAGAGCAGCAATGCTGGGCCTTGAGGGGTGCAGAAAAGTCTGAACAGATGAGTGCAGCAGCTGGCGAGAAGTGGCTGGATTCAGGGTGTAGTCGGAAGGTGAAGCCATGGACATCTGTAGGTGTCTAGACTGTACATGGGGGCAAGAAAGCAATCATGCAAGCGGAGGAGGGGACTGAGCTGAGCAACTGGAAGGATGGCCTAGTCGTGGGGGAGCTGAGGGCTGCTGGGAGTGCACGTATTGGTGGGAAGTGTAACCCTTCACCCGACTTCCAGCTTGACTGGCTTGAGATGCTTCTGAGATCAGTGACACACACTTCTAGGTGGCCTGGATGGGCCATGAGGGCGTGGCCTCGGGGACCATACCTGGTCCCTGGCCCCCTTCCTCTGGCTCTTCCTCCCCTTGCTTCCCGGGCACCATGAGGCGAGCAGCTTTCCTTCACCAGGCCCTGTTGCTACGATGGCCGTGGAGCCAGCTGGCCACGGATGGAAGCCTCTGAACTGTGAGCCAACACATGTACTTCCTCCATTTAAGTTCAGTATGTCAGGGATGAAATACTGAGGCATTCAGGAAGACCAGGAACTGGGAGCTGGGCAGGTTAAGGCTTCAACATCCAGCAAGGGAGCCGCCCAGCGACAGGTCCAGGAGACGCTGGCTCTTGTCTCGGGTGCCTGCTCAGACATAAAGAGCAGCCAGGAAACAAGCTCCATGTAAATACTATCATATACGCCTCAGACTTCCCTTAC